TACGGTGGCAAGGCAGTACATTGTATTCCATTGGCCAGAGAAATGTCCCTTAGCCACTGGAGTTTATCCGCTTTTTAGGTACATGTGCATCACAGAGTATTTTTCTAGTATTAGTACGTAAAACTTGTGAACATGTTCATATTTCTATCTCCAAATTTTCTGTCAAGAACTTTTGCAACGTATAACGACGTAACAGTGGAGAATCTAGAACTTGGCATCCAGCCCATCAATGCACTTTTTTCCTTTTCCAACTCCTGTTCTATGCCACTTCTGTTACATTGGCTAATGGACTGTATCTCCTGGATACTGCCTTGCCAGTTGCCACCATATGATCTGCTTGGAGATTATTCAGTTCTCTTGCGTCAATATCAATTTCAACAGGGGTCCTCCAGATAAGACAGGCTAGAACACAACTCAATGCACATTTAGGACCATTTTAGAAATGTGTAGCTGTAAGGGTCAGACTTTTAAGTTTTGATGATGCATTGGCCAATTTTTTCTGACAAAAGATTTTCACAATTGCCCCAATATGGAAAGGTGGAAAATCCTGTTTTGTACCATGATGTGTGTCTCCTTTCCCCAACAAGCTCTTTACAGGGACAATGGCATCTGTCACTCAATGGCTAATTTTCATGGCAGGGTGCTATTTCCTATTTTGCATGGCTAATTCAGCTACCAAAAACAAATGGTGTGTTTATGCAGGAACCTCTTTGGTCTCTGCAAGAAAGCTATTTCCTCCATTCAAGGACATTATACTGTGTATAATGTCCTTGCTCCATTGAAGCAAGAGGACAGAAGGATGTTATGCTCCCGGCCTATCTTGCAGTCGTTTAGAAACTAATTTGTAAACAATATATTCAACAAATGAAGTTTAAAATCAATCTTTTTGATTCTCAACTCCTTGATTGAAGCAAGGACATATGATTAAAGGTTCAACGTTGTCAACATTGTAACGTAAACAGGAGGCCAATGGACAGGCGGCCAATACACTCCATTTTTTTAATATCCTCTTGCCCCACAGATAAATTCCTTGGGGACACGTTGGCCAATGGATAGGCGAGGAGTCCTTGATATGATCAAGGACATTATGATACACTGTAATCCCTGGGAACAGTCTGGTATCCAGATTGTGCTGGGACATTTATATTCTTGGAAAATAACAACTTGTACAAAATCTAAAATATGTGAATTTTTGAAACTTCTGTAACAAGTAACATAATCTCTAGTATATTTTAGTTGTGGGGATGAAAATTATATAAAATTTTCTGATCAGAGAATGATATCTATCTGCAAGGAGGCTAAAAATCAACCTCCTTTCTTTTTGGCTTTTAAACCCAGCTACCAGGATTGTAACAGTGGGGGGTTTATAGGCACTACCAGCTGACCCAGCCGAGGGGTCTAGACCTTTTCGGCCGAGTGGTAATAGAGCGTCAGCATGTGGACTGGTGCCCAAGTTTGGTCGTGGGTTCGAACCCCGTCCCGGGACCAGTGGGTTTTTTATCTGTTTCTACTTGCTCGGCTCCTGTTTCTTGCAGAATCATCCTGACAGGACCCTATGGGATAATTTGTTCAACTTCATTCATTTGCATGTCTATGACAAGGGCTGACCTAAGTTTGACCCCGCATAAGAAAAGGTCCTCGAGTAGAATAATTAAAGAAATTTCCAAGGAGGTGCAAGAAAGAAGTAAATCCAATATCACTGGTATGGCCTCCTTCAGTGAATATTGACTACCATACAAATAAAATCAAAACTCAGTTCACTCACAGTGGCTCCTTGCTGTAGTAATAGTAGTAGCTTATATACACGTTTAGAGGGATTTGGGCATCAGATCTAGAATACTGAAATATTCCCCAAGAAAAAAAGTTTCCTGAATTATGCATTATACTGTCAAAAGACAACTAGCACATCATGCATGTGTGTTAATCACGGAAACCAGGAAAAAATGACCTGGAAGGTCCCCAAGGCTGGCATGCCTTCAATCAAAATCATCACATAATTGTGTGAGAATGAAGAGGGGAGGTGAAAGCACAACTTGTGACAAACTGCTCATTGGACATGGGTAAAGACCATTTGGTTAGTCGAGATGCACCATAGAGGACATTGGCACACAGCATTGTACATGTAGACTACAGATGAAAAGTATTAAACTACAAACTACATGTAAAAGGCACAATGCCTCCTCTTTATCCAAAAGGTGTGAAAAACACTTTTTTCCATTCTTAGTAGATGCTTTCCTAAGATTTTTAAAAAGGATACTTTTTTCCTCTAACATATCTTTGAGTAAAAATTGTGTTTGGTTTTGTCACATTTTTTTAGACCTCAGGAAGTCAACCCTAAGTGTACCAAGGAGGTTAAATACAAGTGTATTTAACCTCCTTGCTTGTACCAGTTGGTAAACCTTGTGTAATGGGAGGGGTGGGGTGTTGGTAAATGACTTCTCCTCCCTGTCAATTAAAATGCAAACAACAACTACCCTTCCTTGATCCAGAATAATGGGCATTGCAAAACTCCAAAACAAAACTGCTACAACAACTGTGCTAGAAATTTCTTTTGTAAGCCTATGAACACCCCCATGAAACTCCTTCCTCTTCGCCCCCGCCGTTCTGCTTCGCCCCCGCCCCGTTCTGCTTTGCCCCCGCAAAAAATCTGCTTCGCCCCCGTCGTTCCTCTACGCCCCCGGCGCAATTCTGCTTTGCCCCCGTCCTTCTGCTTAGCCCCCAATGCCGGCAAAGCTCACAGTCGACACGAAAATCGTCTGCAAAATAACAATAAAGGCTGTGCCGCCAAATTTAAAGTAGCCCATGCTCCGGCAAACATTCTGGACCACCTTTCTGCCAAGTGGCGTTGCACAAATCCTTCCCATTCAAAAGTTTACCCCTACCTCACGGCCCGTCAGTGGTTCTTACGTTTATAAGTACTGGCGGGAAATTTCACTCACGGCTGTACTTATAAACGCCAGTACTTATAAACGTAAGAACCACTGACGGGCCGTGAGGTAGGGGTAAACTTTTGAATAGGAAGGATTTGTGCAACGGGGCGGGGGCGAAGCAGAACGGCGGGGGCGAAGAGGAAGGAGTTTCATGGGGGTGATGAACATTGTCTTGACTTATTAGATTTTATACTCAATCAGAATGTAGTTTGTGAAATTGGTAACATTAATTTTTGTGTCAACAGTATGGAAATCCTTTTTTTGAATGTTGTACATTATACACTGTGTATAATGTCATTGGTTGTACAATTCTGCAACAGTTACCATCACATGCTCTACCAGGAAAATGGGCAGACGGATGACATTATCAGTAACAGTTGTGCAACTCTTTACGTAACCCAGTCAGATTAATTTGTGCTACCAACTGATTCATTTGACGAGTCCTGGACCTCTTGGCCTAGTGGTTAGAGGTTTGTAAGCTGGCGACCAAGGTTCAATCTCCAGGGTCAAGGTTCTTTTCTCGATCCCGCCTCGTGTGTTTCAGCAAGGTCATACCTCCTTGGCCACAGTTGGTTTCTGTGTGCTTCAGATTTGAGGACAAATCTTACAAAGAAAAGGGGGAGTAGTGGAACAGTGAGGTTTCAAGTACTACCAACTGACTCATCTGATGGGTCCTGGACCTTTTGGCCTAGCGGGTATGGCGTAGGGACCCGGATTCGATTCCTTGGAGCCCCCTTTGTATGTGTTTCCGTACTGCTCACTCTTGTTTGTTTTGAAATTGATATCAGAATGGTTCACTCCCATTAATATGGGAAATCATGTAGAGATGTTAACAGAATTTCACATCAGTCATAACGTCAATATCAAATATATCGTAGACTATGCATGATTATGTATAATGGTCAAGAAGAATATGTATAATTATGTATAAATATGTATAATTATGTATAATTATGTATAATTATATATAATTATGTATGATACTATACATAGTTATGTATAATGGTTAAAGGGATATGTATAATAGTTAGAATAGTTGTGTGCAATTATATATAATGGCGAAAACAGATATATATATTTATGTATAATGGTTATAAGAGATATGTATAATTATATATAATGGGGAAATGGGTTATGTATAATTATGTATAATGGCGAAAGGGGTTATGTATCATTATATATAATGGGGAAGGTGGTTATATATAATTATGTATAATGGTAAAAAGGCATATATATAATTATGTATAATGGACAAATCATTATACATAATTATAGATAATTATAGTATAATTATATATAATTGGACTACTCCCTAGGGACCAATTGACGCGTTCCGCATAATTGTCACCCTCTGGTATGTACTCATAAAAAATATAAACTTAATCGAGTAAAGCATTCTGGAGTTATTGGCCTGGAGTCCGGAATTAAATTGTTTTTCCGGAATTAAATTGCGGCTTGTTCATTCAAAATGTTTATCTCCACCGTGTACGTACATATACATTATTGTTTTACTACATATACTTTGTAAGATTGTGTAGTTACAATTATAGTAGTGGCCATTCCTTAGAATTGAATCCACTGTTCACCATAAAATTTTGGTTCCCTTTTACAATGAGACATTTTTTTCTTCATCACATACATCTATGTAAAAAATCTGATGTTCCTATAGCACAAGTAGGAAACAGCATGGAATTTTTATCATAACACAAGACGATAAGACCCTCTTAGCAGGGGTAGTTTCTGCCACGGTCGCTTACACTGTTGACTCTGGTGGGGACTCCACCGCCGTCAACAGCACTCACAAAAGTCCAAATATTCCGCCAGCCAGGAAAAAGATCCGCTGGTTTCTCTCACAAGACACAGCCGGATTCCAATCCTGGTGGGAACCGTCTCCAGTCTGCATGTTGATTCATTGATACATTCCGGTTTGTTGTTGCATGATGACCAAAACGTGTTCATTTCCAGTTTTTCGTTGTTGTTTTTTTCCTTTTCTTTCGTCCTCCCTCCCTTCCTTTCACCGCCATCCTCTCTAACTTTGAGAACTGAGACTTGAACCTTTCGAACTCTCAGCTCTGGACAAGCTCAGCACTCGGCACCTCTATACCTCAACGCAACCGGAAATCGTGCAATCGAATGTCGTGTTCGACATCGCGAGCCTGGTGCTGTACGGGACGCAGGCCACGCCCATCCGGCTGAAGATCCTGCTGGACCGACTGTTCAGCGTGCTGAAGCAGGAGGAGGTGCTGCAGATCCTCCACGGGCTGGGCTGGACATACGAGGACTACGTCAGGGGATACATCCTGCAGGTGGGAAGAACTTACAAATGTACCATTTTAATACATTGTTTGTACCTTCATGTACATGCAAGTTACCAAAAATAGCTGTGTCATCAGGTTGGTAAAGCACTGGTATAGTATATAGGGGCTGGGCTGGACATACGAGGACTACGTCAGGGGATACATCCTGCAGGTAAATATTACCTACATCTACAGTAACTGTATATTTATATTATGTATATACTGTCAAACCTGTACTACGTCAGGGGATACATACTACAGGTAGGGACAACTTACCATTACCTACATGTACATTTGTATATACTAATCCTGTACTACGTCAGGGGATACATCCTGCAGGTAGGAGCAACTTAAACATTACTAGTAGTACCTGTACGTACATGTGCTGTGTACACTGTCAAACCTGTACTACGTCAGGGGATACATACTGCAGGTAAATATTACCTACATCTACAAATGTACATACTGTATATACTGTCAAACCTGTACTACGTCAGGGGATACATACTCCAGGTAAATATTACCTACATCTACATACTGTATATACTGTCAAACCTGTACTATGTCAGGGGATACATACTCCAGGTAAGAACAATTTACATGTACCATTTACCTACCACTTACCATAATATTATACAGTTAAGTCGAAGGTTAGACATCCAGGAAATAAGATACGCCAAAAAACAGTTACTCAAACAACTGAATAGGATTTTGGAAACAGTCAGACGGTCCAAAATCGATATCCAGTTGCTTGAGTAATACAGTACTGTTTTTTTTATGTACAGTTAAACTTACAGTGTACATATTGTATACTATACAAGTCACCATTTCTACATAACAAATGGCCACTGATATACATCGTACAGTCAAACCTGTAGAAGTGGCCACCTCTACATACTGCAGGTAGGAATGACTTTTACCTACATGTACATGTACTGTGTATACTGTCAAACCTGTGCAAGAATCCTTGCATTCATATGTCATGGGATACATCCTGCAGGTGGGAACGACTTAATCTTTACCTTTATTTACCTTTTTTAAAACCTTTTCAGCTTATGATTTTAGTTTTACCTACAAGTTGCAAGTTGGTATTTCATGCCTTGATGTAATACTTGCATGATGTAGTCTACATTTAATACACTCATCACACTCACTCTCTCTTTTCATGTACAGGTGCTTATACAATGTATGTCCTAGTTATCATTTTGTCCTTGGTCATTCAGTGATGAGAAAAAAACAATTACAGTATTTCCTTTTTTGATAAGGCTGAGAATGGTATTGTTGTTTTCTCTTACACCACTGCAAAATGTACATGTGTTTTAATCCGTATGTTTACAAACTTTAACGTAATTGAGGTTAACCACAGGTAAGCATTGAAAAACCTACATGATATTTTTAACCCTCATTCCTGGATTGATTTTAAACTCTGGTACTTAAATCAAGGCATGACCATTTCTTGTTCTCTTCTAGTTTGAAGACTGTCAAAGCATGCATTTAGTAGTGAATAGCAACGTTCTGCATTCACAACCACTTAACTCATTTAGAGCCGACATTTGAATGCCTTCATCGGGGCAATTATGACTTTTAGCTGTGCACTGAAGATACATTGTAGGTGTTACTAGTTGCCCTGATTGAGATGACAGACAGACATTGAAAAGTCGGTTCGTGCTTAACAAGTGGTTGTGAATTTTGTTATTCAATCATTAACCAACCTGTTGAAATTATTCACAGATACTTAGTATTTTGTTAAACACAATATACTGTTGCTCACCTCAAATTTTCGGTTGCACATCCGTCGACCCTCCTCAGGAGTGAAATGATTACTTTGAGCACTCCTGAACTCCTGAGGAAGGTGCGACCAAAAATTTGAGGTGAGCAACAGTATATTGTGTTGAACAAAAGTACTAACTATTCGTCTTCATTGTGGAATGTACCGGTACCAACACAGATGAGCTTTCATGCTACATGTTGTAATAGTGTCCTTTTTTGTTGTTGTGTTGTGTTGTGCAGGACCTTCCATGCTAACAGTTTCCTGTTCTTGTTGTTGTGTTGTGTTGTGCAGGACCTTCCATGCTAACAGTTTCCTGTTCTTGTTGTTGTGTTGTGTTGTGCAGGACCTTCCATGCTAACAGTGTCCTGTTGTTGTGTTGTGCAGGACTGCCAGGGGAAGGTTCTGGAGCAGTGGATCATCGCCAGCCGGGACGAGGAGATCATCACCATGCAGCAGTTCCTGAGATTCGGCGAGACCAAGTCCATCGTGGAGCTCATGTTCATGCACGCGAAGGACGGGACCGTCGGGGCCTGCTGCAGCCCGCCAAAGACTGAGTCCGACATCCGGGCGTTTATCGAGAGCACCCACAGCAGGCTGCGCAGCCCCGGGCACTCCCGCAGCCCTGTCCTCTCCCCCCACACCGACGCCACGTCCACCGCAAGCACACATAGTAACGACAGCGTGGCCGTCAGCGTGCCGCCCTCCGCCAGAATAACCACCACCCCGCCGCCTCTACTCGAGAACTACCCGCCGACGTCGGTCACCCCAAATGGTCTGGTGATCGAGCCGCACCTCGCGGTGTCTACAGAGAACCCCTCTCCAACGCCGCAGGCTGTGTCCCCTGTGAAATCTGAACCCGGCAGCAGAGTGGAGAAAAGCATGACCACCATCCAGCAGGAGCAGGCCGACATACGGGCCAAGCTGGGCCTGGAGTCCTCGGTAAACTCTCCCCACAGCATGGAGGGCCAGGTGGTCCCCACGTCCCAGCACGGGCACTCGCACTACGCCGAGATGAAGCTGAAGAGCCTCCGTAAGGTTCACACCGACCCGAAGAGAAGGTGGAGCATGTATCGCGGCCACGCCCACTCCAACAGGGTCATGTGCCCGTCCTGCGGCAAGAGCTTCTACGACAAGGGGACGCTGAAGATACACTACAGCTCCGTCCACCTGAAGATCAAGCACAAGTGCACGATAGAGGGCTGCAACATGGTGTTCAGCTCCCTACGCAGCAGGAACAGACACAGTGCGAACCCGAACCCCCGGCTACACATGCCCATGCTGCGGAAGAACCGCGAGGGCAACACGAACACGGTCCGTAACATGATCGACAGCACAAAGCCCCCGTCCTCCTGCACCTCTTCCCCCTTAGCTCAGCACATCGCCACCACCATCTCCCCCCTAACCATCACCTCGGCTCCCTGTGCCTCCAGAGAGTCGTCTCCTCCCATCTCCACCAGCCCGGCGGCGCTCACCCCCACCCCTCACTTCGACGCCATTTGGAGCACCAGCATGTTCCACCGGGCGCTTGTCGGGGTCACCGACGCCCTGGCGCATATGGGCGGTCACACCGCCATCCCCATGCCCATCGCCCCCACGATCCCCATCTCCACCCCCTCCTCAGCCTCCAGCCCCCTTCCCCCCGTCTCCCTCCCCTCAATACCCCTGCCACAGAACGACATCATTCCAAAGAAGAAGTCTAGAAAGTCCAGCACCCCTATTAAGCTCACCAAAGTCACGGAGGAGATAGAGGACATGGAGGACAGTGTTTCCACGGTGGTTAGCGAGAAGGGAGAGGAAGAAAACGAAGAAGGGGAAGAGGAGGAGAGAGGAGGCGGTGGGGAGGACGGCACGGAGCTCAGCCAGGAGCAGGTCAGAAAGAGAAAGAGCAAACCGCCTGAAAAATGTACCCAAGAAGAGGAAGAGTACGCAGAGAGCGACAGCACATTGCGGGAAAGTCCCGACCAACTCGACGACAAGAAGGTGAATTCTCACGAAGAAGGGGAGACGGGCAGTAGTCCCAAAATTGACAATGAACATGACGGTGCCAATGAGGATCGGAAAATGGAAGAGATGCTAGAAAACAAAGATGAGGACTGCAGAAAAGAAGAGGAAGATAAACGAGACGAGCAGTCAGATGAGGACACTTATTCCTGTAACGGACACGAAAACCCCGGTAGCGGGCATACCAAAGAAACATTGTCCGACGTCGCGACCCGATTGGCTGCTAACTTCGGGCTCTACAACCTTGGCACCGAGATGTCAGGCGTCAACAGCTTCATTCCAGTGCAGAAAATCAAGCAGGAGATTCCCGACCAGCCGGACAGTCTGAGCCTTTACGGCTCCTTCCTGAAAGGGTCTCCCTTTGAGACGAGTCCCCTGTACCCATACCTGTACGGGCAGAAAGCCATTCCCGAGATGGGCTTACCGCAGAGCCTGATGCACAGTCCCTACAGCGAAGTGCACGCGGCCAGGATGGAGGTGAACCAGAGCCCCTCCGACCGCTCCGGAAACGAGTCCCCGGACGGCATGGCCTTCAACTCCAAGACGTGCCACGTGTGCAGCAAGACCTTCAAGAGTACATACAGTGTGAAGTTGCATTACAAAAATGTGCACCTGAAGGAAATGCACACCTGCACGGTGGACGGGTGCAACGCGACGTTCCCATCCAAGCGCAGCCGGGACAGGCACAGTGCGAACATCAACCTCCACCGCAAGCTCCTCACAAGAGACATGACCGACGGCACCAAGGCCGGCTTCGGCTACGGTCAGAGTCTTCGGGACGAGTTCCTCGCAAAGATATACGGCAGCCAGGGTCTGGCCTTGCCTATGACGAACGGGGACGGGCGAATACCAGACTTTACTGTCCTCCCCCACTTTGGTCACGACGTCCAGAGAATCCCATCTTACAGAGAGGACTACAACAACCCCGGCATGGAGAGCAAGGAGGGCGACGGTAGAACCGGAGAGGACCCTGAAGAGGAAGACGTGTCGTGCAAAGCAGCTGTCAACGGAGAGGTTAGCAGCAAGTCCCACGAAAACAACGCGCACGACTCCAGCGCTATTGACCTGCGCACAAGAGGAAGTGAACCGGACGAGGAAGATAACCCTGCGTTGTTACACAGTGACCAACCAGACTTCGAGGACAAGAACCCTCCATCCCACGGTTCTGAGGCCGATGCGGATGAAAGCGACGACGTTAGTGTAACCATTGACGGGGAAGACATGGACGAGAGAAGTAGCCCGGACAGTAGCGAAGTCTTCGCCTCTAACGGAGGGGAGAGACTACCGCAGATGGTCGGGTCCAGCGAACAGAGTAACACTACCTCATTTTAAACCTGCAAGTTTCTACAAGAATAGTTCCATTGTCTGCAACCTTTGCCACAAGCTGTACAGCAACAAGAGCACCCTCCGCGTGCATTACAGGACGGTGCACCTGCGCGAGATGCACAAGTGTAAGGTCCCCGGGTGCAACATGATGTTCTCTTCAGTCCGCAGTCGCAATCGGCACAGCCAGAACCCCAACCTGCATAAGAACCTCTGACTGTCCGCCGACGGGGGCTGCACGTTTCTTCCACACAACTGGGGCTCAAACTTGTTCGATTGCTGACAGAATTCGAAAGGTCATGTCTCGTTGTCAAAGGCCTGGCAAGTTAATGTGTAGATTTGTTTAGACCTGTCTCCAAAAGGCGACATTTTATTGTGATTTTGTCAAGAGATACCAAAGACTGAAATTTATAAATCTGTTGTTGATTTGGCAAAGTTTATTTCTACAACGGAAAATGAATCCGAAACGGATGCACGGCAATAAAGATGTAGAGAGGACTATACCAAAGATTAGACTTTAGTCCGAATCCACAAGCACAGCACAATCCGTTTAAAGTGATAGTTGTTCAGCACTCTGTGTACTCAGCCTCTATCATGACAATGATAACAGGGCTATGATAGGTAAAGTACACACTAAATAAGGGTTTGCAATATTTGCAAGACACAATGGAGATTTTTTTCTTGGCAATCTAAAGTTCATTTGGTTACCGAGTTTCGTGGTCTTTGATCCTATTAGCCAAATTTGGAGAAACCATTTTGTATGACTGAAGCTGAAAAAAGAAAAGAGAGAAGTAGAATACATTTGTTGGATGCTGCTGAAGTGAGTTCAGTCTGGTTTGAACCGGAACGAATCACAGAAATGCCTCACAATGGATCAGATTTGAGCCCCACGTTCCAAACCAAAGAGTATTTGTACAGAAGCTTTAATATACTACTGAGAGAAGACCAAAGGCACTATATTTCGTACCACACTGTAAGCAGCAAAGTGTTGTCCTGCACATATGCTGGAGACATGTTTCTATCTGTGTGAAAAAAAGGCAAGCACCAATTCAGAAATAGAGTCAATTTGTTGGACAGTTTGTAGAGACGAGGATTATAAGGGTAAATGTCACTTAGATAAATAATAAGCGGGAGGAAAGCTGTTCTGCTTTTTCAATTGTTACCCAAGATGTGTATCAATTTTTCCTACTAATAATTGTTGTGTGCTCCGGTGGTGCAAGTTCATACTGTTCTGTACTCTAGTATTTGTCCATGTTTTTTTTTTTTTTTTCTCTGTGGCGTTGTGTTTCTTGTTCCTGATCGTGCTCGAAAAGACCTGAGGTCGTGTGTGTTTTGTGTTTCTGAAACGTTACGAACTACATTGTACATGTACGCTTTAAGTTCAACACAGCCTCCCAGCTCTCATAAGGAGGTTTGGCAGCACTATGTAGTTAGTTAGGGTTCAGTGTCAGAAGAATGTAAACCAAAGACTTTTGTACCACAACCACTGTTGCTGTGTGTGCATGACCATTAGCCCATCAGTCGTGTGTTGTTTGAGAGAGAAAAACAGAGATATTTATATACATACTACACAGTGATTTTGCATATCAAAGAAGCACTGTGTGCCCTGAAGGTATGGCTATTGTACAGTATAATGCCAAATTTGTGTCTACACTGTGATTCGTGTCATTCGTTTTCTATAGCTTCACAGTTGCACTGGAGCAGCCAATGATAATGAATGTAACAAGAGCTGAGAGAAGTATTTTGATGTGCCAATTTATTGAGCTCTCTGCCATATGGTTTATCGTGTTATCAATATTAGACCAATTGACTAGGTGGAATTAGGACGGCTGTCAGGTAGAGAGTAATGCACTAGTTTTCCCAGTGGGCAGAGTATGTGCAGGAGCACTGTGCTAGGAAATGACCTGCCCGGATCAATACGTTAGCCAAGGAGAGACAGACCTACATGCCTAGTGCTCTCTCATTTATATGTTGCCTTGCGATGGTGTTGTGAGAAAAAAACACACACCAACAACGATACCAAAGAAAAAATACACTACTGGTTCCAAAAGCTTTAGATGGAAACTGTATGTATGTACATGTATGTATGTACCGATCCTATGCCGCGCCTCAGGGAGTTAGAAATATATATATATGGCAGGCTGGGTGGTTGCTTATCCGAGTTTCAGATTTATTCCAAATATCTATATATCATATATTGGAATATTTAGCAATACGTAGCGTGTCTGTAAGCAATTATCATTCATGTGTCGGTTTTATTTTTCGTAATATATTATATATAAATCACCTTTTTGAAAGGTTAGTAGCCATAGATGTTTATTATTACCATACCACGAGAGTATTATTTTTGTGACTGGTGCTAGTTTTAAAACATAGCCGTTCAGTATTTTGCATCTTGTTATGATATATACATATATGTATATATATATCTATAAATATATATTTTGTGTATCGTCTTTATGTGCAAAACGTTCTGTTGTCTTCCAGATATATATGTGGCCTGGCCATTGATTCATTTCTAAGAAATGACTAAGTCTAATTTGTGGAAAGGAAAATGTCCAGATGCGTGTAGATGGTCACACAGGTTCTGTGTCCAGTGGCTGTAGTGTGAAGCTGCTTTTATCGTGTAGCACAGAAAAAAAAGTACTACAACTATGTTTTTTACAGTTCTGTGCTCCCAACTGTGGTGGTACCCTTTTCGGACTGTCTGATTGAATATCGTATGGTCAGTGCACGTAGATGTATCACCATCATATTGTATGTTGTTGGCATTCCTTGTATGTGCGTCATTTGTATGGCTCCCATACGTCTGGTTTCCATTTGGCGTGTTGCGTCCATTCCTCAAATCTGATATACAACGTTGCGACGGCAGTGGAAGACCAAGTAGATTAATTTGAGCTGTGTCACAATTGTGATATTAGTATATCTGTCATCCCGGAGTGGTGAGTGCAGCAAAAACGGATCTTATTGTGGTGAGATTGACGGATAAAGGCGAGTCTACCGCTGATAAAAATGGATGTATGCCACCCCCCAACCACATGATGACATATTGATTTTGCATTGGCTACACGCTTCTATTCCACCTGCCTCTATTTGCTATTGCCGAGCTCTTTCTTTGTACGATTGGCATTTTTTGGTGGTCTCTTGTAAATCGAAAAAAAATCACACAATGAAACAAATAGTCTGAAATGGTATTTTTTATTGCTCCATTCTTCTGTAAGAAGTCTGCTTCTTTTGTTAAACAACGGAGGCAAATACTCAAGATGTTCTTTCTTTCTCAGAATAGTTTTGTGAGGATCAAATTGAAAATATTACCCATATCTCACTAAGCCAGATTGTCGCTTGTTTGACCATACGACTACTAATATGTAAAAGTTTGTATTGCTGGCAATGCAAGAAGAGCCATTCCTCGCTATCAAGTTCCCAAATAAAATGGGAGCCTTGAATGTCACCAAAAAAAACAGACAAAGCTCAACTGAAAAAAAATAATTGGCAATATCTGCTTGTCTGTCTCCTGAGTTTTACAGCTCTTTTCATTCCGTACTTCCTGCGACCCTAATGGCTTAGCAGGTGGTCATTTTAATCCTAACGCTGACCGTTCCTAAGCGATGTTCTCACCCGAGCGACTGAGGCTCGGTGATAACGCCTTATTGGTTTTTCCTCTTTGAGACGCAGCCCGGGATTAGGGGTCACATTACTTCGGTCTTGGCAATTTTCCTCTCGGCTCATTTGGGTTCACTTTGGACCAGAAAGGTGGCCCGTATCTACCTGGTTTACACGAAATCTGATGCCAATTATTACCTCAAAGAAATGACATAACTACCTCCTAATCCCTTTGCTTCAAAGTCAATCACGCTAGCAATACCAAAGACAACGCTGCAGATAAGGACTTATTCCCCCAGAGTGCTATTTTGTGACTTTCGGATATCCCTGCATTCCTACTGAGTTTTTTCTTCTTTCACAGGCAAAAAGTGGAGCCTAATTCTTACTTAAAACAGTACTTGTGTACACAGGTTTTACCTTAAAGATGTGAGATATTTTACCAAAAATCATACATTGTCATGTCTTCTCAAAGATTGTCATTGGTTTTAAGCTTGCTCATGTTTCAAAGATTGTGATGTTTCAATATTGTCTGTAATAAATGTATCTGTAAGGTACACTTGGAATTGCTGTTGTCTGACCTTTCATTGGTTTGTCTCTTGGTCTAACACTTCCTACTATAGAGGATCATATTATTAACATATACGCCAATAACAAGCTGCCAGTAATTCTAGGGAAGCCCCCTTTGAACAATGAACTTAAACGTGGATTTGAAATATTCTAAATTTGAGCTTGAATTCAATTTGTTGAGGAACTGTACATTCCTGTTTTTGTACAATAGTCTTTTGAGACTGACTGAGAGATACACGTTTTTTGGGGGGGAGGGTAAAAAAGGGTTTCTCATTTCTTGCCGGCCAATTGCTGCCAAGTTGCCACTTACCAGTGATGCCTGCTACATTGTATCTGATTGGCCATTCAAAGATATGGGCATGTTTGCTTTACAAGTAAATGGTTACACACACAACTTACAGAAGTAATTGTTCAGACACCTGGGCTGAATCGACTACAGCACAAATTTAGTTCCAGTAGGCAAAAGTTCTAGAGTACCTTTTTGCAAAGAGTTCAACTAAGATTAACTCTAAAGAGTCTACAAACAATCAGTGCAATGAACCCTAAATTGATATAATGACATCTTTGTTAAAGCAGCTGTTCTATGTTCAACTTGCCAGAGTCATTATAAGTACATGGTTGTATGTACACTGTACATGTATGCTATAGGGATATACAGATCAAACGTTTATGTTACAGAAAAAGTCGTTTTATTTTGTACCGTGTTAACTAAGGATACACTGGGGTTACAACTTTATCCAGTTTGACATATCACAATGTCCTGTACAGTCAAACGTGCCTAAGAGGACCACCCAGAGGACCAATTCACTCTTGGTCTATGTGGACAGGTGGTCACTATAGACAGGATCCTTGATGCTCATGTCAAAGGGAAAAATTATTTAAGGGACCAGCAAAAAGTGGCCGTATTTGCCAGGCGGTCCCTATTATATATAACATAGAGGTGGTCACTTGACTGTACAGATTTGACTGAAAATCGATACAGGAAAAAGAAAGACTTTGGTTCTCACATTCATACTCTTCAATGTAAGGATATTCTGCCAAGGCAGAGCCTTGGGTTGCCTATCTGTCCCAGGGTCCTCTCTCCATGGCAGACAAAAACTACAGAAAAAGTTATGTTTTATTTTGTACTGTATTGACTTAAAGGATACACTGGGGTTACAACCATTGTCAGTTTGACATACTTGGGCTACCGGTATATACACACAATCATGTACAGTAAAACCTCCCTAACATTAACAAGACCACTTAGAGGACCAACACACCCATGGTCTACATGTATGTGGACAGGTGGTCAATCCTTGATGTTCTCGTGTCAATGGGAAAAATTATCTAAGGGACCAGCAAAAAGTGGTCACTTGTACAGGTTTAACTGTAAATCGATATAGGTTGAAAAGGAAAAAAAATTCAATCTGTTCTCAAATTCATAGTCTTCAATGTACTTGTAAGGATATTCCACCAAGGCAGGTGGTCACTATAGACAGGTTTCTTGATGCTTGTGTCGATGGTAAAAATTATCTAAAGGACCAGTAAAAAATGGTCACCTTGGTGGTCACTTGTACAGGTTTGACTGAAAATCGATACAGTTTCAAAAGGAAAGACTTCTGTTCTCACATGCATAGTCTTCAGTGTAAGGATATATTCAGCCTTGGGTTGCCTATACATGTATCTGTCCCGTGGTCCTCTCTCCACAGCAGACACAAAATGTCCTGCTGGCTTCTCCGGCTGTCAGGGAGGGAATCAATACGTAGAAACAAAAGACATGGTTGTTAAATTTAATGGTTACTTTAGAAAATTGGCAATAACAGCGGGGCGAAGCTGATGGGGCCTGAAATGGAAGTGTAAAAGTTGAATGTGCCGGTGACAGTAAATCCATCACCCTAGCCACCGGTAGAACAAACGGGCTGGCTAGGGTACAGGGCTCGCAGGGTTGGACAAGTCCCATTGCCCACTTGGACAGGGCAAGTAAAAGCACTGTTCAGGCAAGTGAATATCCCCCCTGTACTTGCCCGATTGGGCAAGTAACTTTTTTGAATGCAGTGTTTGGAGCAAAATAACACAATTTTCAATTAAAGATATTATATTGATACCAATCAAATATATGCCCTTTTGTCAGAAAAGTCTTTCAGTACCCTTATTTTGGTAAAATGAAATAATTTCCTTTCTGCAAGTAAAATGCGTACTATTAGAAATTTGTCATGATTGTCCATCAGGGTTGACGGATTGGTTTCAAAATTTTTTCTGTCGCACGCCTGCAATTGAGGAAAAACCTGGTGCTGGCTCGAGCCCTGGTAGGGTAGCGGCCGGAGTTAGGGCCCGGCGGGGTCCGCCACTGTAATTATCGGGCTGCGGAACAGGCGTCGGAATGTGGGGTGGCGGCCAGTAATGGGCGGAATCCTCGCCGGACAACTTGTGGTTTTAAATATGTATTGACCACTGATGGGGACGGGCAGGTACAAAGTTTAACATGTATGTATGCAGTGGTCTTGGCTCCAAAGAGTTGCCCACTCTGAGCATAGGGCTGTGTACCTAATATTTAAAGACAAATCAAAATCTACTGCTGAATAAATAACAGAGATAACATAACAATGATCCAGACGTTTTGAGTGACATCTCTCACTTCTTCAGCGTCACTAAATGAACTTAGTGATGCTGAAAAAGAGTGAAGGATGTCACTCAAAATGTCAGGAAGTTATCTCTGTTATTTATCCAGTTGTAGATTTTGATTTTTCTTTGAATATTGTTTACCTGGATATCTAACCTTCGCCGACATGTGTACCTAATACTTTACCAGTCCTGTACCTGTAAAGATTATTGATATTTAGGTACAGGTCTGGACCTGAACATCTAGTATACCTTGACCTGAACAAAGTAGAAATGCCAGTGGACACCATTGTTTACAATGACAATTTTGACAATTCAGCACTTTTTGTAGAGTATTAAAAAAGTAATTTATTCATATCATATAATATTTATTTATAATACATTGTATATAGGGCTTAACCAACCTTGTTACCTAACTTTTGAAATGTACAGTTAAACCTGTGTAAAAAAAAAAAAAAAAGGCATAATTTTTATGATACATTGTACATTTTTATGTGCATGAGCGTGATTGCAATGAATGTACATCTCTTTCCTGTAAGCAACTATCGGTAGTATACATACACAGTTAGTGGCATGTGCCTTATCAGGCTACATTATTTCAGCAGTTACAAGTTGACTGAACCATTTGATAAGCCCGTACAAATTGGAAGAATGGGGTGTGAACAATCGAATGGCCATTAGAAAAGCTAACACACACTCCCCGTGCCATCATCCTCCACAAATCCAGTTAGACACCTCGCACTTAGAAATGAGCCAATGTTCCAAAGATTCCATCTCCTAATGTTTGGGTGGGCATTTTCTCTGCCAGTCCCACCTGTGATGTAGCCTGCATGTACTGGAAACGTGCGGCAATGTTGGCCGTTACGTGGTGTTTTGTTGCTTGCTCATGTGCGCCGTCGTTATACCGGGTCATCATTCCGAGGAAAGGGGCCAACCCTCATACTTCTCAGTGTCCAGTAATGAGTATTGATGGCTGAAACATTGACAGAGATTGGCAATTTTACCCGGGGAAACTCAAACTGCCTGAGAGGAACTGGAGCGTTGTACGGCCGGCATCCTGTAATGCCATGTCAAACCATTTATTTAGCGCCGCACCCAGACTACGTGGCACTTTACTCAGATATACGGGGGGCTATATTTCACCGGGACGTAAAATATTAGGGTAGGCAATACCCCGTGCCATCTTTGCCGTGCTGGAAAGGGCAGGGAAATTTCCCCCAGGACCCGGCAAAGAGATATTTTATTTTCTGGATGGTTACATCAGGTGGGTCCCTATTATCACCGTGTAGTGCCCTGATCTGTGCCAGACAGGATGGCATCCTTTGTTGAACTGGGGAGACCACGTATTTACTATTACTTTGAACTGGTCAAATACTTGGAAATAAAGTGAGCCAAGTTTGAGTAGCATGATATGAAATTGTCAAGTACATCCCGTGGTATGACAATAACTGTTGTCAGGGCTCGAAATACTTTTTTTTTCTCCGTTGCACTACCGGGTTGCACATTGAAGATGCACCAGACAAATTTTACCTGCACCACTCAGAATTTAGCAAGTGTGGACCTTACATTGTACTAAAAACAGTTTAGAAACTATTGCCATAATTTAATTCAAACTTCATAGGTAGTAACAGTCAATGCAGCAAATAAAAATCCGCATACAAATGTACACCTGAGTGTGCATTTTGTAAACCCAGTACATGGACCAGCACGGTTTCAATGTCACCTGCACTAACCAGGTTGGTTGCAGGTGGTATTTCGAGCCCTGTACTGTTATGTGAGAGAGAGGTGAGACCGGTATGTGACTTTAACCTGATGGTTGTACTAAAAATAACAGATAGAAGCTACCTGTACATGTACCTGTCCTCAGATCCATTAATTTTCATCACAGCTGACTTCAACCTCTGCCATGGATAATGCATCATGTCTGTTAGTAGAGCTGTAAATCTAAAGCAGCTCTCTCACTTTCTCTCAGGGCATTGACCAAGTGCTACATAAAAAAATATATATAATATGTATATACAGGAACTGTTGATTCAAGTTCGCGACACTTGAATTTCAAGAGTCTAAAAGGTTATATATTAAATCCTTTATTAGCTCCTTACAGTTAGAAAAGAAAGTTGCATACTTGCCGAAAATAGAATTGTTCAAACATATTATGACATCCAAGCGAAATGTTATAATTGAAAAACTATGTAAATTTGTTCATACATGTTTCAAAAAGAGAGAAGAGATCCTGTAGGTAGATCCTGTAGATAGAGAAATAGCACACGAATGTAACAATATTGCTTCTTCTATTCTTGTTACCAAGTTATTTAACTTAAGTGCATCTGGCCCGTGTAGGGCGTGAACATGCAATAAAGTTCATTGTCATTAAATTTCGCAGATAAAACAACGCAATGGAATGAACTAAACTTATACACTAGAGAAAGCTGACCACAGGAGCACGTACGTGTAGTTTCTGCTGCCTTCAGTGGGACACCATGCACATTAACTCATTTAATGGCCCATAAAAATGTTCCCCAGCTTGTTTAATCAGCACTCGGGACTGCCGCAATAATGATGCTCACCAAGAAAGTGATATCATCGCCCTCCTCAGATTACTCCTAATCCCAGAATTATCGTGTTCTAAGGCTGATTGTTGTATCTGGATAATCAGCGAGGCCCACAAACAGTAGAGGACGTAGGAGGGGGAAGATGAAAGAAGTTAGTCTAGGCCACTCAACCTTTGACCTCCGGGGCATTGTTGTGCATGAGGAGAGTGTGAGAACTAATGACCCGTACGTGTGAGTGATTGCGCTGTCACCGCTGTCGCTCATATTAATTTTCACATCGTAATGGCTTCACCATAAGTGAATGAGTGACGTTTGAAAGTTTCTGCAGATAGGTAATAATTAAATGCTGTTAGTTTATATTATCATAATACTGAAATTGAAGTAGCATGGCCATTTGTCACAGTCGTAATGTCTTTACCATAAGTGAACGAGTGACATTTTAAACTTTCTGCAGGTAGGTAATGATTAAAACCTGCTGTTACTTTAATACACTGAAACTGAAATGTTGTGGCCAAGTGTAACGGTCATCAGGACTATATATATAGCCAAAACCATCATGCTCTTATCAGATGTATCAGATTGAAAAAGTTGCAAAAATATCTACAAATAATATAAAATCCACTGCAATAAAATCATCAGTATTAGCTTTAAAACGAGACATTTAAAATCCGTGATCTTTGTACAAAATTAAATCTAATAGAACGATATGTGATGTCATTTTCTTTTCATATTCTGGGATATTCAACGGAAAAGATGGAAGGATCACCATAGAATGGACCAGCATGACACCATTAAGTTATCATCATGACACTAAGTGAAATGTTAAGAGGGACAGAAAACCGAGAAGGGTGGAGAGAACTGGTTGTCAGATCTTATTTATTCTTCTGTGCCCCATGCAACAGTCGAACATTATTAGACTAAGGAATTCTAGTAGATAGATGACCGAGATGATGATGAGTTTAAACTGATTTAGTATGGGAATGACATAAATTCAAGTTGTTAACTTTGGACAACAGACATCTAAGACTATTTTTTACTGATTTCAGACTTGCTGACAGCAGCTCAAGCAGGAAAGGTAATTCATTACTTTCATGTTTCTATTTTATAGTCCTTGTGTTTCTTGGTACACACTAGCCTCTAAGCAGACTCTTGGAGTCTGGATTTTGGAGTACTGAAAATGTGCTGTTCACTCCAGCCCTGGAACTGTGTACCAAAGCACAGTCTTTCCCCTCAGACACTGTTTTATTGTTTGTTTATTGTTTATTTAACCAGAGAAACATATCGCCCTGGAGGGCAGTTTTCAATGCACCCTGGGGGCAATCCCCAAACACAATAAAATTATAATACAACAATAAGTAATCACTGAAGAAAACTTATGTACAATCAAGGGGCAAATTAAAATAAGGTAACTTAAGCACGAAGAAGTCAGAAGAATAAGTGGTCCAAAATAGACATACATCAAATAATATCAAATCAATCATACAGAAATCAAAATAAATAATTGAAATAATTTACTGTTAGTATCCCAATCTAGCATTATTCTTGAAAATCCTATAAATTGAAGGTGTGTGGCCTTCTTTGGGAAGTACAAAATGACAACAGGTGGCATTTTAAGAACATCGTTCAGTCCAAACATTGAGTCTTAAGCGAGAAAGATCTGACTGAAATGATTGATGAAGAATACTGGAAGCGTAACTTTGTTGATGCTTTAACTCTTAAAAGAATTCTGTATGTAACGCTATCTTTTATGACAGTGCCATTTCAATGAATGTTTCAGGTCAGGAAACAAGGCACCCAGAAGGGGACTCCATGCCAACATTCCCAGTGTGACTGTTCTGACTTCTCCGCCCCACCCAACTCCTCTGTAAAGTCCTCCTCCCGACAGTGCACCGGCTGTCAGCACCTGGAGTCAGAACACAGGTTAGTCCATGGGCCGGGTCCCCAAAAGTGACAATTGTTACCAAACAGAGGGACAAAGGATGAGTTTTCTTCTAGTAAATCTCATAAATACGTGATAACCGTTGCAGTGTTGTGGCTTTGACCCTGAACATTAACCCCCAACAAACCATTGTCCTTTTCTACTTTTAATGCAAAGGGGAGTGGCAAATAATCAAATAATAATAGATATTTTTCAATGAAAACTTTACGGACGTATAAATTAGAAACCAAGGATTACAAAAATGTTGCTTTTATTCCGATATGTAATTTCTATGAGAAGTTAGGAGCTTTTGAAATTTGACTTTTTGTAAAAATTTGGTACAAAAAATTAATGTTAAACTTTACTTTTGAAAACCTGTGATATTTATGGCTTCACCACACCACGAAGTGGTGTGGTGAAACCATATTGCTTTTTCTGATGTTTCTTCTTCTTCTTCTCCTCCTGCCATTTTTTAAATGGATTCAGCTTCTTCATTTTGGGGCCTAAGGACCTGAAATTTGGTATGGAGGTACAGTGGGCAAATACCCCCAGGCGTTTTTTAAATTTTGGTGATACAGGCTTTTAGAATGGTTTTATTTGAGCTTTTTGGCTGTGTTATAGCAAATGTATTACTGTGCTGTGTACCACGTTTGGGCATGAGTCATCACAATGGAATGCAGGGCATCAACCAATAGGCATGCAGCTTTCCTCTATTCTTCTTGCTGATTGGCTGTTGGGATTTAACTTGATTAACACTTGCACAGAGCATTTCCACCTGCACAGAGCATTTCTTGCTGATTGGCTGTTGGGATTTAACTTGATTAACACCTGCACAGAGCATTTTCATACTGACAGTATGTCTGTATTCAAGTGTTTTGGTAGGTATTTCAAGCTTTCCTGCTCCAGCATTGGAATGCGGGGCATGAACGTTTTTTTTTTATTTTGAAAATCAACAGTTTGCATTATGCAATTAAAAATCCTAACCAATAATGTAGGGAATAGCTATCCAACTGTTGTTTTAGTTGTATGTTACTTCATATTATAGTTATATCAATGTAAATCATTGTTTTCCCTTGTGTTTCTCATTCTTTCCCTACCATGTCGTAAAATGTGGTGAAGCCATCACTGTATTTGCTCCTAAGCAAATATTGGCCTTTCTAGTATAGATTCTATATTGACACAACAAAAAAGTACAGTGACTTTTGTATGGTCTTCTACAATGAAAGATCTAACAAAGCTAAATACATGTGTGGATAACGTCATCTTACTAACAGAGTATGTATGCTGTAACAATAAAGGTTTAACTATTCTCTTACATGTGTATCCAGACTGCCCACCAAGTTTGACCAGCAGCAGGCCCGGGAGCAGGCTCAGGCAGACAGGACCGCCTGTGTGCTGCCTACCTGCCACTGTCAGGGCTTCATCAGACCCACCAGTCAGAGGTGAGATGTCACCTGTTTGTTTTTTGTTTTTGTTTGTTTGTTTGTTTAGAATCTTCATCAGTAAAATACATCAGGACCTGGTACATGTGTGCTTACTAGTCCTGCCTACCTGCCACTGTCAGGGCTTCATCAGGCCCACCAGTCAGAGGTGAGACGCTGGGGATCCGATGTCACCTGTTTGTTTGTTTAGTTATAAAGTTCACACTTTGTTCCAACACAAGGAAGAAAGTAGAAACCCACCATAAATTTGCAGTCAATCTCGTCAACCTTCGTCAGATGTATGATGCACAGTCAGAAACATGATGATGTCAGGATCGCATCAAAAGTCACGGTTCAGAGAGGGTTGATGGGCCCTGATGTAAACTGTGTCCTTCACACCCCACAAAAAATAATCCTGCTTTCATTCGAATGTTTGAATGTTTCATTCAGACGATAAACCGGACAGTGATTGAGTTTGTTTGTTTATCTTGAAAGTTCATTTGTGTTGGTAGATCATTATGAAGCAAGTTTAGATTATAATTCACAACACAAGAAATTGAATGTTGTCAGAAAAGCAGCTTTATAAGTATGCACTATTGTTTGATATACAAAAAAGTAAAGACAACTTTTTTTTAAAGTCCAAAAGGAAACAAAAGTTAGACAAGACAAGGGTGATGCATTTGAAACATCTAATAGATACATTGTAGTTTTAAAAATCTATCCACTTGCACAAGTAACAATGTTCTTGCGATGCACCCTGCAATATTTCCAGCCCTGCGCCTCCACACAGGCAAATGAGTGATGACTTCTTGATTTAAAAATCTATCTACATTAATTTTGTAGTTGCTTGAGTAAGAGACTCAGTATTCTTGTGATGCACCCTGCAGTACATTTTTTGTATTTCAAGCCCTGCACCTCACACTCCACATAGGCAAATGACTGGTGACGTCTTGATTTACCACCGTCCTTACTTTCCTAGTTTACCAGACCAGACCTGTGATTTGTCGTCCCCCTGTTTTAGAGTCTGAACGTCCAGGAATATTGGTGCGTGATGCTGCATACCTAAACCCACATTTAGGTTCAGGTCCGGATTCAAGTCCAGAGGTTTAGGCTCAGTTCCGGACTTGTAAGTCCAGACCTAAACCCATGGCATATACAGAATTGCATGTTGGCAACCTTGCAATGTTGTCTGGATGAAACTTTGGCCACACAACATGGAGGCTGGTACTTAATGATGCCCGATGGCGATGTTTTCTTCATTTTGCAGCAAAGATTTTGCAATCTATGGAAAGTTTTAGGTGGTTTGGAAAGAAAAGGGGTATATGTGAAATGGTCTTTTATGGTAATAAGTCTATCTGGACTCGGTTCTTGACTTTTAGGTTTTTTTGGACTTGAACCTAAACATTCTTAGAAGTCCGGATCCTAGTCCAGTGAACCGGTGCGCAGCACTATTGGTGGTTGATGGATATGAAGGATGCGGGGATGCTGATGTGAGGAATAGCCCATTTGTGTGGTGTATATTCGGGGCGTATGGTTCAAATGGCGGGGCAGGGACTTGACACGGAAACGGATGGGCTCTCCCCACAGTTCAGGGGTTGGGGTACATTTGAATACCAATCTGACACTGTAGTGTACATGTAACCTTGATGGTGCACTTGTGTAAGGTTTCCACCTGCACAAAGGATAGTTCCTTTACTGGTCTCTGCTGACTCGCTTCCTGTGAAAGCTTTTTAGGATTTCTACATTTTTCCCAGTTGGTTTACATTTGTGATCCTTGCATTTGACATGCTACAGGTGCACACTGGTACTTGGACATGTTAGAGTACCTAGTATATGCTTTGCAGGAAAGTTTGTAGCTTCCTTGCCAAAGTTGGTAAGGATATAGGCATTAACTGCACCAGAAAAAATTCAACAGTTCAATCAACTCTGTTTTGGTATTTTGTAAATGTTTAGTTCCTTGTTAAGACTAAAAGGTTTAACTTTTTTTTTAAATTACCATCATACTTGTCAAGATGGCTCTCTACACTGACTGACACATAATCTACATTTTTCATTCAAATTTTTTAAAGAGTTTGCTGCAAAGCCAAAAGGCTACTTCTGGGCACTAAAGTAATTTGAGTAGAAACTTACTGCTGTTGCTGAAACAACAAAGCATGGAAGGATGACTGTTCAACAGAATCCCTCCATCCATGTATACTTAGCTATTTGTTTATATGCAATTAACTTCATTGTCATTTATTTTCCTCATTTTCAGGTACAATGTCCTTCAGAACCCTAGGCTGCCCACACATGTTTCTCACCATGTACTAACTCTTGATAAGATGTCACAAAATCTTCACAACAGTAGCGAGGGATTTTGCTTTTTTTTCACTTATTCCAAAAGGGCCGCTGTTTGTTTGATATTCTTCATCCCTTGTTCAGCGTCATCTTCCAACGTAGCCACACTGTCCCTGTGTCTGCCTGCGCGAGGTACAAGGTTGTAATAATAATGACAAATATGCCACTTACAAAGTACGTCTAGGGGCCACCCGGCTGCTAATGGCTGGGGCAGGAAGTTGACGTGAAAATGGATGACCAGTGGCATTGGCGTCATCCTATTTTAGCGGCGCTGCCCTGTGGTCTATAGCCGAGCCTGACAGGGCGAACTGTCCAGGGGACTCCGCTCTGACAGGCCATTCAACATCCTGCAGGCAAAAATATTCCTAAAATTAGCTCCCAAACTTTCGCAAAGTCCTACTCTTACAAACTTCCCTCTGAAGTCGCAGAATTTGCATGTAGATCACCAGTCCTACGGTTGAGGTCTGGACGTCCTTTGTAGTGACTCCTAACTTTGATGGTCCAGGAAACCAGAGGACTCGAGCAGCAGACAGCATTATTATGCCAGATAAATTGAGCGTTTTCATAAGACAACTTTCATCTGATAAATTCGGACATACAAGAGATAAAGGTCTCCACCCGTCTGCGGTGGATGGATGTATTGAATGTGAACGGGAATTGTGAGCTACCTGGAAGGGTCTGGCCCTTCTAGCTCCTGTATGAGCCGGGCGCAACTTATCAGCGAGCTGGCTCTAATGGTCAAGCTCGGACAAAAGCGGCATGAGCAAATGGCCGGACTGCCCCTGGCTGTAGCGGGTATGGAGGGGAGAGTCCAGATAAAAAGGCAGGGCCTACTTTAGATGGAGAGACAAGGACGCTTCAAAATGAAGACAGTGTTCATCAACATGTCAAAGGGGTTTATGACTTGTCCGTTCCGAGAAAGAAAAGAAAGAAGAAAAAAACGACGATTCGGTGGGTAACGGTGTAACTCCAGGTGACAGGAGCCCTCTGGCCATGTCCAGAATGTCCCCCAGGTGAATTGTGGAATATGGGAAAATGCGCAGTTGTACACAGCATACTGAGATGATCCGGGAAACAAAATATTACAGATTTCGAGATCTTTTAACTGTCAGGTAGCATGGTATCCATCCTTATTCTACCTACAGTCTCTCTCTTGATTGCTTACTGCAGAATCGTTTGCCAGTGGTCTCTCTATCAAAACATTCAAAGAGACATTTCAGTATTCGCCTATGCATGATGTAGCACAGATTTTGTGATCTTTTCACTGTCAAGTAGCATGAGGATATCCGTCCTTATTCTTGCTCCAGTCACTCACTGTCTTTCCTGCAGAATAGTCTGGCGTGCAGTCGTCTCTCTATCAAAGAGAAACGATTGGCATTTCAATATTTTGCCTAATTATAGGCGAGAGCTCTAATTGGCTCTGAGTCACACGGCCTTCGTAGTGGCATGGTAATGAAGCTGAGCGCAATGAGAGTCGGCGACATTAGTATACAGCACGGTGGAAACTGGGAATCACAGAAACACACTGTTGAGGGACAAAATGACAAGCACAATCCTTCACTCTGTGCAAATGAATAAAAGCTGAAAAATGGCACTTCTTTTTATCATTTTTGAAACCTATAGATTTTTTGATATTGTATAAATTTCATTTTTGAATTTTGCTTTTAAAATTAACTAGTTCAGCCTCTGCTTTTTCTAATAGTAGGTTAAATAATAGGCTTGACATAGTTTTTAACGAATGGATGATGTGTTAGATCTTTATTGAACATACATGTACATAACGTTACATACATACCCGCTGAAGAATAGCTTGTTACAGGTCTCCCATTACGTTTGCTAGCTGTCATACCTGTGTGAAGCCCTTGTGTAACAGACCTGCACTTGTTTCTACTCCATTCTCACGTCCCAGTTTGAGAGAGAAGTCAAGGCCATGTGATTTCTCAGAATGTCTCCGGCACCGACGTCTCAGGAGGGCTTGTGTCTGTTGTTTGCAATGATGGCCTTAAGATAGTTTCGATAATCTTAACCACCGGGGAAGGAAGACTGCCGGTGTCAGGGAATGTCTGGGAAACTCGGTGCGGTTAGACACTCCATACCCAAAGGAGCGGACAGAAGGTCAGAGTGGGGCTGTTTTTTGAAAACAAGGGTGCAAAACGAAGCTTTTGGAACGATGGAGGAAATGATAAGGTGAAGCTCCTGGGACTGGTGTCAGCAACGTTGCCTGAAGGGGTACATTCCCCGCATCATGAAGACCAGAGGAGAATACTTTGTTTGGAGTACAGAAAGTATGGCATGAGAAACAAAACCTCCGTGCTCAAAAGACATAATTGTTAACAGGGATTGAAATCCTTTTTTCTTTATACATTTGTGTTGTATACCTGTACCAGTGTACTGCTAGGTAACGTTGAAATTGTCCTGCACCAGACAAATTTTACCTGCACCACAGAAACTATTGCCATTATTTCTTTCACACTTCATTCAAAATGTAATGTTAGGTGGTTCCAGTCAATACTTAAAAATCCATCTACAGTATATAAAGTAACCCAGAACATGGCCCAATGTAGGTAGACAACAGAAATACATGTACCTGCACAGCTCCAATTTTACCTGCACTAACCTGTATATGCAGGTGGTATTTGGAGCCCTGTCAGGACAGAATTTTTTGTTTGGAGTAGGAAGTAGAATCCTGTCTACAGTGACTACATTTGTACCTGTCCACATAGGCCAGATTTTTTTTGGTCCCCAGAGTGGTCTTCTTGGGCAGTTTTGACTGTATTTTTTTATAACGTATCGTATTATAATATAAAACGAGCTCAATGGTGTGTAAATACT